CTTGACCATCGTGTAAGTATTTTGTTTTTTGCTCCAACAAGCCAAATAAATCCACTAACTCTGAAAAAACATTGATTGAGACCAAATTATTGTAAAACGGCACAAGAAAAGGAGGCTTCTGTCTCTTAAAGAGAAATAGGGTAACTCTCTGAACTCAGTCTTTTTCCAGCTGTTTTCTCTGGTCTAACTAAAGTGCTTCTACACATTCTGACCAGAATCTGATCAACGCAGCCTTTTCTCTTCATAAAAAATAAGTACTGTAAAGCACTTGGATCATCAATGATCACCTAAGTGCATAAGACAAGCACTAACTCCATTTTATCCAGCTTACTGACATAGAATGCCCATTTCCTTTTCTGATAACGTCAAACAAACAAACAAACAAACAAACAATAAATAAATAAAGAGACTTTACAATGCTGTGGAAATACAGTGGACATAAAAAGTAAACATACCCCTGTTCAAATGCCAGCTTTTTTCGCCATTGTGACCTCTCCGCTTTACAACTCATTCGATTTTTTGAAAACCTTTTTGAGTGTGGGAATAATGATAACCGAAATAATGAGGTTACAGATGTGTGCATACCCTCTTATTACTGAGATATAGCTTTCTTCAGAATTAACCAATCGCATTCAGATTCATGTCTTCCTGGAATGTACTCCTGGCAAGGTTAAACAGGGTGTTTATGAATAATTATAACCTATATTCATTCATTCATTCATTCATCTTCCGAACCGCCGCTTCATCCTCCCTAGGGTCGCGGCGGGTGCTGGAGCCTATCCCAGCTGTCTTCGGGCAGTAGGCGGGGGACACCCCAAATTGGTTGCCAGCCAATCGCAGGGCACACAGAGACAAACAACCATGCACTCCCACACTCACACCTAGGGACAATTTAGAGTGTTCAATCAGCCTGCCATGCATGATTTTGGAATGTGGGAGGAAACCGGAGCACCTAATGTTTAAATTACATTGGTTAACACATTTTTTTTTACATTTTATATACCGTATTTTCCGCACTAAAAGGCGCACCTAAAAGCCTACCATTTTCTTAAAAGCTCATGCGCCTTGTGTATGGTTATTACGGTAATATGTCGACCCCAAAATGGCTGCATGCTAGAGACATGCTTACAACACAGAGTTCAAACTGAAGGCGATCAAGTTACGCAGTTGAACACGGAAATAGAGCAGCGGCAAGAGAGTTCAGTGTTAACGAGTCACTGTTATAACTTGCTATTGGTTAAATGAACTGTGTCGCTGCTTTATTCAATAAGTTTTACTGACATTTGATCGTTCTGTCACTCAACAGCTAAGCTATCTTAGCTGTTGTCGTTTGTTCAAAGCTTCTTGATCTGTGACGTGGGTTGCGTCAGTGCTGATTGGTGCACAGCAGAGAGCAGCGGACTATGGACTGCTGAGGCGTGCTTCACTCGAGTTTTCCTTGAGTGTAGCTCCATCTAGTGGATGCATTGTAGATTGCATCTTATCATGCGGTGTGTCCAATATATGAAAAAAAATTACAAAATAGGCCATTCATTGAATGTGGACTTCATAATCCAGTGCCCCTTTTACTGCGGAAAATACGGTATATATTTTTTTGATCAACAATGCAGGTAAACTTTTCTAGATGACTTGGTGCTGATTCCAAATTTGCCCTCATGTTTTCTTCAGCACACCAGGTTTTCATAATAATAATAATAATAATAATAATAATAATAATAATAATAATAATAATGTTAGGGAGCGTACAGCCAGGCAGCCTTCTCAGCCAAGGTGCTCTACACCTCACACCTGAGGCTCACCTGCTAATCACCCGCTTGTAGCTCATCAGCTCATTTGGGCTGGTTTCTGCTCCCAGTCCTTTGTGCAAACGTTTGTGCCGTAACCACCTGCTGAGAGGTCTGGTCGGCATCCCATGAAGTTTTTGCTTCTTTCGTAGACATTTCCTCTCCCTTTGGATTCTGTGTGTTCTCCCTTGAACTTTGAGTAAGTTTCAGTTTGAATTCTCCTGAGTTGACTTTGCAAAGACTAATAAATCATACTTATAATATAAGTTTTGGCTCACGCCATTCCTGCCTGTTGTCGTGCATTTGTGGTCACATAAGGGGTGTTCACACAGCAACATTTGCTCCGGTGCCACGCCGGTGCTGCCCCAGTAGAGCGTTCACACATGCAAAGTTCCACCAGTGTAGCCCCTGAAAACAGCTTGTTTTCAGGGGCTACACCAGAGCAAATTTTTAAGGGGCAAATTTAACCCACCTCAGGGAGGTGGTTTAAAAATTTGCTCCGGAGCAAATGCTCGTTTGCGGTGCAGCACCGATGTAAAATGGTACGTGTGAACGCTACAGGGTTAAAAATTTGCTCCGGAGCAAATGCTCGTTTGCGGCGGGGTGAGTAGCCTCGCAACACATGAGAAGAGTTGATTACGTACGGCTAGAATGCGTTGCTTTCGTACTCTGTTGTACTACCGTCATCTGTTTGTCTAATAACGACACAAGACATGATGGCTGGCAATAAAAGTAGAATGGCAACTGGCAAAAACAGTAGCAAGCGGCATCTTGCCTCTTGGGTTATACCATCTCAACTAGAACAGGGAGGACAGTCCCCAAACGTCATCTTTCCTTTTGTAGGAGACTGGACTGTCTTGGAGTTGTTTGTGTAGTTTGTTCCTTTGTTGTGTGTTCACAACCCCCCCCCCCCCCCCATAGAATTTATTTTGTGATTTCCTCTCTTGATTTTCTGTTTGGCGCATTATTGCTTGAGTGTCATTGAAGTCATCGTTGGTTTACGTTATCGGGGGCGGTCATTGAACGCCTCTCAAGCAGAAGGCACGGAGACCGAGAAGGAGAAGGACGTGCCTGTACAGCAGTTGCTTGAGTTGTGTATGTTTTAAAAAGAACCAACACGACAGCTCTTTGTTTTCTATCGTTTTGCTCCGCTGCAGAAACTGCCGTGTGAACCCAAGTGGGGATGCACCGGCGCTGCACCGGTGCTAACACGCTCAGCGGCTTTGTACGTGTGAACGCTCCACAAAATTTGCTCCGGTGTAAGATATATCGCAACAAAATACATCGGCGCAGCACCGGAGCAAATGTGTGCCGAGCAAATGTGTGCCTATAGAAACCCTAACTAATAATAAAAATAATAATAATGATAATAATAATGTCAGGTTCTGGTTTAACCCAGAGAGAATTGGATCCCACAAATGTAGACCAGGATAAGAGATAGCAAGACATTTAGTTTTGAAAAACATAGACCAGAGAAAGTAAAACAAAAGTCGCTGGCAACAAAGAGCCAGGATCCAATGAAATGGACACAAAGCACTTACAATCGGCAAGGTCAAGGAGAACAAATAATCACACGCAAAATCACTTGTCAAAAAAGACAAGGAAATCCAATTACGTGAAGAAAAACGAACGAGATTAACACAACAATAGAAAAGTACTTAGGAGAGATAAGCACAAGAACGAGAGAACTACAAAACATGGTCACAATAAACGTCAAGAATATCCAACACTTGGTATCAGGGTAGTGAGCAAGGTTGAATAATCAGACAGTGAGTAGTCAGCATAGCAATTCTTTTCAAGCCAGATGATCACAACATGAGACAGGTGCAGCACTGGAGGTAACACCCTCTGATCCCACCGAAAATTGAAACACAAAAATAACAGAACAATGACAAATTTACATAATAATGTAACATTTGATACAGTAATATATTTATTAATATTTAGGTATTCAGGGTTACATAAAAGAAAAGTGCTTTTTTTGTTTGTTTATTTTTTTTTTTACTGAAACATCATAGCTATGAATTCCACCGCATGGTAAAATCCATATTGCACAAGCATTTACAGGTCTAACCTAAAAACAAAAAATATTCAAAAAAGCCCCTCAAAAGCCTGATGTGCTATATAAAAACATTTTTGAAATCAAGCATCAAAAATACATTTCGGGACGCATAAAGCCATCGCTGATGAAAATTTACTGTTGACTTGCGTCATACAGTGTAACGTTGGCGTTATACATTCGCTGTACATTTTTATGGAGCTTGGCTACAACAAAAATGTCTATTAGCACATACCACCATTAAATAAAACAAATGTGCACAAGGGCCCAGGCTAACATAATATGAATTTTAATATTTGTATGAAGTTATTTTTGTGCACTTCCATCTTAACTTTCCTATTGTGTCACTTCTATTTCAGTTTGGGATTGTACAGATCATTATTTATCTCTTACCTTTAATGACACCAGTGCTTCTCAATTATTTTCTGTTACGCCCCCCCCCCAACAAGAAGAAAACAATTCGCGGCCCCCCTCCCCACTCTCTGCTGCCATGATAATTATCATTTGTCTATAAAATTGTTATATGTACCCTTCTGCATAACATTGTATCCTTATTAAAGAAAAGAAAAAAAGAAATATAGTTTAAGTTACAGCAAAGAATAACTTCACAAACATTGTTTTTTAATCTGTAACAGAAAATATTTTAAATGTATCGGCATCGCATCGCGCCCCTCTCGGGGGGTGCACCCAACTATTTGAAAAGGACTGATATAACCCAATATTTGTTGTATATACCTGACGTTTTTCAGTCTGCACAGATTCAAGTCAAGATATTCGTAAGCAATGCTAATTGCTAACGTGAGTTGACGAGCACTGGACGATCACACAGACAGCATCTTTGGTTCTCATTTAGTAGTTCCATTGATACTGTAAATTAGAATCCTCAATTTTATTGCTTGCTGAGGTTTTCTGCTCATTTATAAAGTGAAACAGCTCACTCAACAACATCCATTTGAAAGTCATCATCATCCATCAGTCAACATTCAGATCCTTACTCCAAAAAAACTGCCGAATATTAGATACATGATCATTTACAATTCGTTTATCCACCAGAAACAAACGTGTTTTAATATACAGTGTGTGACATGTTTGTGGACTTTATTTTCATGAGACAATTCACCTGTTACAATGTTAACCGATGCCTTCTTTGTGTCAAGGTCTAGTTTTGAGTGAGATGGCCATGCCTCTACAATGCCACGGGACAGTTTTGTTGGCTGTGGCCTTTTTTTTCCTGCCTTGTATCACTTCCTCGCTTAACCTGGAAGATCCAAATGTCTGCAGCCACTGGGAGAGGTTTGTCTGCTCATTTTACATACATTTAGTGGACGTGGTTACATTGTAAATTCTAATTATTACAAAAAAAACCCCTAAATACAGGTGTGCACTAGTCGTGGATCGAGGACACATCTGACTAGGGCATCACATTTTTTTTATAATTAATTAATTATTAACCAAAGGTGTTCACTGGCCTCAATGTTCACGCTGGTCTATAAGAATAACAAATAACTCTTTGTTGCACATCACTATGCGTGATGTGCAACAAATAGTTCAATAAGGAACACACCGAAAATTGATAAAGGTCTAATGTTATGTTTTGGTTTGTTTTGAAATTGATGTTGCTGTCCCAATCATTTTTTTTTTGTGCTGCCTCAGAAGAGAACTTGGGTGCACTTTCGAGTTGAAAATACATTTTAAGGCATGACAGTCACTTTTATAGCACAAGCTTCTGTATTTATTGATTGAAGACACAGTTTTGACAATCAATATTTATTTCATGGTGTAATATTAATAATAGAAATAGTGACCCCATTTGCAATTTTTTAAATATGATTTTCTGATTTGATTTGAGTGCAAACTTTATGTGGGCAGTAAATTCAATTCAACTCACCTCGTAATAAGCAGAAGTTCAGCAAATAGTAAATAATTAAAAAAGAGGAGTCAATCTATTTAATTTCGCTCGCAGTTGAAATTTTCTGTCAAACTAAACATGAAAGAGAAAGAATTACAAGATGTTTATAAACAACCAAACAACATTGCTTTAACAATTACCCCACTAGCTTCATTCTTAAAGACATAATGAAAAATGCCAATGACATGCTAGCAGTTAGCATGGATAGTTGCAATTTTACCTAAACACATTCTATTTGAGCACAAATGATGAGCCAACATGTGTAGAGAGATCATGTCACCAGGGTGCACATAAAAAATATAGATGTGGTTCTCCAATAAGCACCAGAGGTTCTTGTTTAATGCTCGTTTTTTGCCCGACCCTCCGATCTCTTGGAGTTATGATTGTGGTCCCCAATTTTTTTTTGCACCACAGACCGGTTTTAGAAAAATGTACATATTTTGACGGAACATCATCAGTCTCTGCGCCCAAGACTTAAGTCACTCACGAAGCCCACCACATGATTGGCAGGCCCTACGTGCATTAGCCACCGCCGCCACCCTGCAAGTTGACACCATTTGTGTCACTTGTACTATGCAGAACTGCGAGAGTAACGAATCAGTTCATCAAGTGATTCCATGAGTTCAAAAGATTCGTTCATTTGACTGAGTTATTCACAAATGACACAACACTACTTCAGCCCCATCTACTGCTCCACTCCACCCCCAAAAAAATCCAATTCGAAATGCTTGGTAGGCAAATGTGCTGTGACTACACTTTTAATATTTTTAGCGCACCCGCGCACCACTTATGTTGACCTCTAAATACCGTATTGGCCCGAATATAAGACGTTGTTTTTTGCATTGAAATAAGATCGAAAAAGTGGGGGTCGTCTTATATTCAGGGTCTAGACATTATACCCATTCGCGACGCTAGATGGCGCTAGATATCATTGAAGCGAATGCTGAACTTGACTCCCCAGGCCAAAGTGAACCCCTGTCACGAAGAATAAAAATAAAAATAGCAGTAGCACGAAGAAGAAAAATAAAAAATAGCGGTAAGAAAGAAAAGAGAAGAAAATAATCGAAGAGATAACAGAAAATGGAGAAATGTAGCGACAATCTGGAGAAAAGTGGGTCGAAGATCGGCCAGGTTAACCGGCAGGTGAGGAGTAGTTATGATGTAATTTACATTTCAAAAACCAGAAGCCATTCATTTACGAATGTGATTGCACTTTAGTTTACATATTTAAATGTTTAGATAATAAGATTTGAATGAGGCAAAAAACATGCTTTTTCTCTCAAATACATTGTTATAATCATTTGTTTCAGATGTACTGTTATTATTTTCTGTATAAACATTAATTTGGTGTTCAAAAAGTCTTTTTTCAAACTTGAGTCTTGAAAAAGAGGGGGTCGTCTTATAATCAGGGCCATCTTATATTCGGGCCTATACGGTATATGAACACTCATAGGCATACAGTGTATTTTTTAACTTCAACGATAAATGAATAATATCACAATAACGAATAACTTGCAGCAGTACTGTAAAAAGTCTTTTCTTTTTTGTGTCTGTATGACTGCATTTTGCAGTACTGTATCCCGGTGACCAAGATGGGCACGCCAGAAGAAGCAGCACAATGAAATGAAATGCAGCGTAAAATCATGATGCACAAACTGTTTAGTGCTTGATATTCTATTTATTTCTGTAATTATTACTTCGGTTTTTAAGTACAACATTACAGAATGCTATTTCTCCTTACTAAAAACATACACAAAATTAAGGGGATTTTTTCTGGGGAAGGCTGAACTGGATTATTGTCATGAGAGTAACATTGGTTGAATATGTCATACTACACTGCTTACTTAGTGAACTAAGGCATGCATATCTCTAGGCTATGGAGCATCGCGTCCATGAAGAGCAGTTGACTTTTATTTTACCTTGATACAATCAACAATATTTAACATATGCACATGGTATCGTGAGTATGGATAAAGGGAGTGGATCAGGAATGGTCTTAAAAATGTTCCTTTTACTCCGCCATGTCATGAAAATGAAAAAGCATGCGCCCCATGCACAGTGCTGAACAAAGCCAGTCGTAACAGTGGGGAGGAATGGGATAGAGGTAGATTTAATTCCAAAGAACCACAGATATTCCTTTTGGATAAACTTGTTGGGTGGTAGAATGCCGTGCATGAAAACTCTCCACACACAGGGATTCTGACATTCATTGATGTCTGATCTCTTGACTCCTTTTCTTCCTTTGGTTTCAGATATTCAGTGACAGTTCAAGAGTCGTACGCCCATCCCTTTGACCAGATTTATTACACCAGCTGCACAGACATCCTCAACTGGTTCAAGTGCACCAGACACAGGTGAGGATCACATCGTTCCTGCTGTTTTTACATTATTCTTATTTCCATTCCTTGCCCTTCCAAAGTTCGCGGATGTTAAGATTCTTAGTTCTATATTCGTGACCAATTAAAGTCTGGTGTGGGGCGTGTCATAAATCTGCACGGAGGAATGTTAAACCAGGCGTTGATAGTTCTGCAGATGCGTGAACACAATCTACTTGATTCACCACCAATCAAAGCAGCTTCTCCTATTCCCTTTAAATGTGGCATACTCACATCTCGCATGGAGACATCTCTGTGCAGCCATGGAAGTACAAAAATCAAAAAACAGGAAATGGTAGCATGACTGTATGTGCCATCTATGAAAATAGATCGCATTGTCTTGTTGACCAATTCCAATTTTGTGCCTATATCTGATTTTTGGTTGGATTGTGTCTTTACATACACATTTCAAGTGACCGAAATGCATGTTTATCAACGACATGTGTCAACACCAGGCAGCTGCAATAAAGAAGTAAAAAATAATATATAATGCAATGCAGATTCAGTCAATCTGTTTAAGTGACTGCATTCATTATTCAGAACAAATCAGTTCACATTTTGAGTCTTAGGAATGTTAATGTAAAGAAGTTACTGTCTTTTCATTCAGGTATAATTGTGAAAACTCACATTTGTTATTTTTAACCTGACAATGAATGTATAGCCGCTAAGTGAATGGCGAAAGTCTGCTTATGATTGATGGCCACTGAAATGTGTTGGGAATTTTTTATTTTTCAATGTCAAATTCATCAAACAAAACAACAAAAAACACTGATAAACATTCAATATCCATTTTTTTCCACAATAGACAATAAAATTAAAAAATATATATCTGCAAATCCACAAATCCACAGGTAACAGACTACGAGTGCGGGTATACGTTATATTTTCATAGTGCAATCTCATATAAAGTGATCCTTATATTCTGTGAAGAAAGACGATTAAACGGTCTGGATTTCATTGGACGATCTCACTTCCTGTCTGTGTGAAGGGTAAGCTACCGGATTGCGTATCGGAGAGGAGAGAAGACGATGTACCGTAGGAAGTCCCAGTGCTGTCCAGGCTTTTTTGAAAACGGCGACATTTGTGTTCGTGAGTATCAGATTTACAACTGTATAAAGTTTGCTTTATCTGAATTGATGATTAATACGCAGTCAAATCACCCCCACCAAAAATGTCGCCATAAACCCATGAAACACAGACTTTTGCATAATTTGAAGGCTGATGCAAAACATCCTGTATCATTCGAAACATGGAAACACTTACCAGAACAATTATACTGTGTATGTTTACATAGACTGCCCTCGAAGAGTATTAGAACAGTGAGGCCAGTTTTGTTTCACCAAAAGTGTGTGAAAGAGTAAAGCTTCAAGAAAGAGACCGCATGACCGCAAACATACAAACTCATCAATGAACTTCGCTTAATCAATCAGTTAATAAATCTTCATAGATTGAAAAGAGAGCAGCAGAGTGGTCGATATTCTCCGATTCAACTTGCCTTACATCCTACCTCTCTCCCTCTCCAGCTCATTGTGCAGAGAGCTGTGTTCACGGCCGCTGTATGGCCCCCAATACCTGCCAGTGTGAGCCTGGATGGGGGGGTTCCAATTGCTCCAGCAGTAAGTCGTCCAGCTGTTGCTGTCTGTGAGGTGACAAGTCTTTGTTTGTGAGAGCCATAATGTCTGTGAAGCTCACTAAGAGCGAAAACAGATTGGATCTTCTCACTGACTGTTTTGCTGATTCCCCACAACACTTTGAGTAAAAGCGAATGAGTATTTTACACAAACTGCATTTTAGAGTTGCCTTTCCAGTGTAACATCTAAAGTTGGAAACTGTGCATTGGGAAATGCGGGGCAGGGATTCAAGCAATTCTTCTCAAACTCCTTCCTGGAAGAATGACAGTGGTATTGCTCTTGTTTGTTTAGGGTTTTTTTTTTTTTTTTTGGTTTGTAGAATGCAAATGATTTGACATTGAATGAAACCAACACATTTTGGAATGATACTGGTTAGCACATTCACCTCACGCCGCGAGAGTGGCTGCCTTTACAGCAGCTCCTGTACTTTTTATCCCTCTACTTCCTTCCTTTCATAACTTTGCTGCTGTAAATTGGGAATTTCTCCTTTGGGAGATGAATAAAGCTTTTCTTATTATTATTCTTATTATTCTTATTCATATCCGGCTTCCTATGTGGAGTTTGCATGTTGTCTCCATGCCTGTGTCGGTTTTCCCCAGGTATTCCGGTTTCCTCCCACATTCCAAAGACATGCATGGTGGGTTGTTTAGACACTCAAAATTGTCCCTAGGTTTGGTTGGTTGTTTCTCGACATCTGCCGTGTGATTGGCTGCCGATCAATTTAGGGTGTACCCTGTCTACCGCCCAATGACAGCTGGGATAGTCTCCAGCACACCCACGACCCTGGTGAAGATAACCGGTTTGGTGTGTGTGTGTGTGTGTGTGTGTGTGTGTGTGTGTGTGTGTGTGTGTGTGTGTGTGTGTGTGTGTGTGTTTTTAGGGGTGTTGTTACACACGCATGATCAGGGGTGCAAGACGGTCTCCAAGTGCCCGCTTCACAGCGGCTAACCTTACATCATCCGCAAATGGAGATCTTGCAGTTCCTTATAAATGTGCTTTGTGCATGCTGACCTCTTGCATGTACTCCAGCATGTCCATTATGCTTCTACCATGTAGACCATGCGCCTCTCCCTCACTGAATTTAAAGGGAATGAGGGGAGCCACTTTGATTGGCCAGGAGTAAAGTTGGCTGTATCTGTCTACGAAATTATCAAAAGAAAACTTGACCCATGTACACAGTGAGATTGCACTTCGTGCTAGACTATCACTGGGCATGAAAATAGGGCCTGTAAAGTCTGGTTTGTTTGGCTCATGTGAGTGCTCTGATCTGTCCTCAACTTGGGTACACTTTCCGTTCCCCAACAGCAGGACTTTTGCACATCGGCGATGTAGACCTGTCATGTAATGAATGTAATGCAATCACCCCCTCATGCCCTTCATGAATGTTATCAATGATAACCATTTCCTTGCACAAACTAGAGACTTTAAATAAGCTGGATAAATATGGTTGATGCTGGCAGTTTACTTCTTTTAATGTCTCTTCCTTCTCTTTCCCTGAAATTCATTGTATATACATACACAGAGTAACAGTAGAACCTTGATTTCCTGGACCGAGGGAACCCAGATTCAAGGGACAGAAAATAGTGTCCTGTCTACTCAAAACACCTCTTTTCTCAGTACCTTTCAAAATCTGTTAGTTCCAGAAAGGATAATGCGAACATCAACTTCCAAGCTTTTATTTAATATATATTTACAATATTATTTTCTGAAATGGACATTCCTAGGCTATGAGAAAAGTACACAATAGTCTTGAACAGTGTACTAGCTTTTTTTTAGAAACATTTGATGTAACTCACTCGAAAAGATAACCCCTTCCCCCAGTGACTCCCTTCAATTAAGGTTCCACTTTATTCCTATTATGCTGTAATTTCAACGCACTTTATGCCAGTTGCATTCGACATTTAATGTCTGGTCTTTGCAGATGTTTGGTTTGCTGAAAACCTAATAGTAAGTTTTCGTGTGTTTCCATATGAGCTTGGGAGCCATATTTGCTGATATAAACATATGGAGCCCATAGAGTGTGCCCCTTTTGTCTTCAATTTCAGTCTGTAATAAAAGAGAGCATTGTTGAGTCTCTTCCTTGACTGCTCATAGCTCCACTAGGCTTAGCCTGTGTGACTACTGTCACAGACACGATCTTAATGTGTAAAAATTGAGCAACACAAAATCATTTCTGGCCTTAGGCATATTCTAAAAATAATATAATCATTTATAATGCCCGTGTTAGGCTTGGCTCACTAGCACTATGTAACAAAAAACAAGCGATTAAGAATGTTCTGAAAGCACCATTAAAATAAGATTACTGACATCAAGAAGAGATGTGACTGACTACGTTTCAGGTTCAAATGTCGAGGGCGCACGTTGAAGTTACCATTTCCCTTGGAGGGCTGTTAGGACTGTGAAAGCATGTCAAGAAATCAAAAATAATGGTTGATAATGAGGGGTTTGGAAACAAGAAATTGCTGACAATATTTCTCTTATTTATTACACATGAGAATTTGAAATTTTGTTTCAAATTTTCGCAAATGTCGTAGAAGTTGACATGTTAGATTTGCTTTCGCGGGCCACATAAAATGAGGTGGTGTGCCAGATCTGGCCCCCATGCCTTGAGTTTGACATCTTGGTTAAAGGTCAAAATTCCAGTTTCTGAATCATTCGGATTAACCCATTCAGATGTTGGAGCAGACAGCTACTTCCATATAGATGGTAATCAATTGGATCAATTGGAATATGGACATCGTGATGCAAATAGAGGTCATTTCCACATATTAATATTATCAATAAAGTAGTCGTAGTATTGCAATATTGCAAATATTCCGCTTTTGTAAGGGTTATTGACTGCATGTAAACATAGCCGCTGAGACCACAATGTTCAAAGACACGATGGAGAAAAAACTAATTGGCATGTGTTTTGTACAAGAGACAGCAGCATGTTTAGCAGTTGACTTGGCTTTTCAATTTTGCCACAAAAGAATGCCACAACTGCCAGCAAAGTAACATCCAGGTGTGGGAAAAAACTTTTTCTGAGCCTGGCTTCATTGGGGAGATTTTCGCAAATGTGTCAGGAGTAAAATACTCCCATGACAGAAGTTCATCAATGTTAGCTTGTTGTATTTCTTATTTTGAAAAATATCTGCTGTCACAACTTCATGTATGTTTGTAAAGATGGAAACGTGGCTTCGGGATTCTTGACAAATGCTGACACTAATGCTATATTTGTGACATTTAATACTTTGAATTTTGTTTAAAAAAACAGAACAGATGGTTATTTGAAGTTTAGGTGCTCACAGCTGGTCTTTTAAACTAACACTTTGCTGAATGATAGGCATTCATGGAAATGTGCAAGTTTAATGAGTTGTTTAGCATCTGAGCAACTCCCCGCACTGTGACAAACACAGTCAGGTGTTGCAGTTAGCACCGCAATAGACAAAACAATTTTGGCTCAAGTTACTGGGCACGGGTGCTAAATAATTGAAAGGCATTTTACAATATAGGTATGATGAATCTAAAAAAGCATCATCAGTATTTTTTTTTTAACAGCCGTCTTTGTTCAGGCATGAATAAGAGCTGTGTCATGTGAGATGTTAGAACTGAAAAACATTTTGAGTTCATCCTCCCAAAAATCTGAATACTGAATAACGTATGTCAAATGGAAAAAATGTTTTTATTCCACATAACGTCTTTTAAAAATCATTGGTATTAGGCATAATAGCCATCTTTGCAGTCCTGCAAGATCATCTGTGGGATGGATCTAAAAAGTGATTTTTATTGTTATTGGATTTATTTAGTTAATTAGTGAGACATTTTTAGACTCCAGAAGAGATTACACATTCCCACACAGATTGGGAAAGGAGAAATTAACAGTAAATGCAAACAAATACAGCCCAAAACAGTTATTAAAATAATGAGCACAACCTACAGTAGATCATGGGTGCCCCTGCAGTAGATAATAAATGACCCGCTTTCACATAATAAATCACCCGCTTTCACATATCTGATCATTGGCTTTATTTTTATATCTTCCAAGGATACTTAAGATATACAACTATATGCAGAATTCCACTTTGTAATACACTTTCTTGTCCCAATATTTCATCCAATTATGTACGTAATGCAGTTCTCCATAATATTCTTTTTTTAAGATCATTTCAATACTGACCTAATAATATAATATACTTCCTTCACTCGTTTTACTAAACAAAACACATTAAACCCTTGTTATTCTTTTTTTTCCCAGTATTGTAGTGCAGGCTTGTAAATGTCAACTGTTTCCCCAGATTTCTGAATGGTAATTTAAATATGGTTACAGTGCAGAATGTGAAGTGACTTCTGGTTGAGTGCAAGTTTTGCTTTTGCCAGGACAGAAATGGTTCTTGAAAGTTTGGATTGGAAGTGTTTTACAGTAAGTAAGGTTTCCGTCAGATTTTGTTGTCATTTTCAGTAAGCAGCCATAGTGTAGTCCTTTTCAATCAGGCCTGTAATTTTCTGAAGATAGACCACAGGATGTGAGGTATTTTTCAGGTCAGCAGACCTGAACAATATGTCTGAGCAGCAATTTAGGGAGCACTAACAGGAAATGGGGGTAGCCGGGTTCAAAGGGGAGCACGAATAATAGCAGAAAATTGTGTGCCGGGAAATGTCTTGAGGCAGTGGAGCTTATGACTGAAGACACATGACAGCAGCACAAGATACTTTGTAGTTCGGTTTGGAAACCTTTAGCTTTGGCATGCATAATGTAAATCCGAAAGAAAGTCTTTTTTTTTTTTTTTTTTTTAAGTGATTTATAGTCATGGCTCTTTCATAAATTCAGTGTCGCCAAGCCTTTACTCCCCCGAAAAACAATTAAACTAGAGAAACAAAGAACATGACATAAATAGTACAGTTATGTGTAAATATACATTTTCATAGACATGATACTACAATTCATTTTGTACACAATGGATTTTGTATAAACACCCTTATATCCAACTAAATAAAAAAACATT